TAATGATCTTTAAAATAGCATCATATGACCCCTTTAAACAAAAAATAAAAATTATATTGTCATAATGAATCAAATGTAAAACAAGATTAGAGAAGTAGAAAATAGGATGGAAACTTGAACGAAACTATTTGAGTCAGTATAAAAATACAAATGAAATTTCGCTGTCCCTTATATCAATTATCAAAACTCATTATTTCATGTCAAAGAATGATCCCACCCTCCTGCTCTCACCTGTAATAGTCTCTTTCTGTGTGGCCATAGCACGTGCATTCAGCTCCTGGAGCTCCCAGTGGAGCTGCTCCAGCTTACGGCTGGAGGCTCTAAGCTGACCGTCCACATCAGCAGCATTCTTGCGGTTAGTCACCGCCCGCCGCAGCCGCTCAGCCGCCTCTTTGATCTTCAGTTCCCGCTGGATCTCCTGCCGGAGAAGGGCAATCGCATCCTCTACACGCTGCTGGAACTCAGGGTCCATGAGGTCACCTTCAGCCAGACCCCGCAGACAGCTGCTCTGTGGTGTTCAAGTGACATCGAGAAAGTAGTACAACAAAAATCAACATGCTTCAAGTGTTTGTTAGTTTACAGCAGCCTTTTTGATAAAACACTCACATCTGCGTAACAGTTCAAGTAAGGCAGGCATCTGAGATTCTGATTTAAAAAAGGTTAAAGGGATAGTTGTGTCATCCTTTAGTCACCTTCAAGTTGTTCCAGACCTGTATGAATTCCTTTCTTCTGCTGAATGTTATGTTCAACAGAAGCAAGAAATTCATACAGGTTTGGAACAAGTTGAGGGTGAGTAAATAAATGACAGCAGAATTGTCATTTTTGGGTGAACTATCCCTTTAAGTAAACAGATAATTCAATTATAGTAACCAAATAATCAATTAAGCAAAGAAGTGTGAACATACTGATATTGATAAAGTGGACTTGCAATGAACAGGGTGAAAATAAGGTCACTGATATGAGCTGAATGTGGATAGCAACTGGAGCAGTTACACCATAAACGCAGATATACATATCTGTATGCATATGAGGCTTTAAACACTTCCAGACACTTGCATATTGTCACACTGCAGTAGTAGGAAAAAGCTAAATGAAAGGAAGAAAACCTACATTTATTAATAGCTATTTTCTGAAAACAAATTTCATACTGCATCTCACTTTGTTACAAATAGAGGGCAGTGTTTCACACATTCTGACAGTCTTAAGTCACCAAAAAAGTTCTGAAACTAAAATTAATCTAATCACTTTACATGTACATACATAAAGTGTGTACTACTATGACTTAGATTAACATGATCTGTATTTAACAAGCTGTCAAATAGTGTTGTACTGATACATTCATCGGTACCCCCTAACAGCAGTAAAGCTGAAAAACCAGGCAGACCACATTTCGGACATAAAGAAACTATCATTAACCACTGTCATAACATGAACCGTTCAACTACTTTAAAATCACAAAAGACTTCAATGTCACTCGTTTTTACACACACGTAACTTCAGTTACATTGAAGCCTCTAGTGAGGGACAGAAGAGGAAGCTGAAGTCCTGTCAAACCCGTTCAACCTGAAAATGTTTAACGTTAATGATATTTAATTGTTCGGACAAAGCCCGAAAACTGCCTTATTAAGGCGCAATAACATAAGGAGGAAGGTATAATGCCATAAACACAGCATTTGTCTAATTGTTTTCTTTATATTTGACATTTTTATTTTTTTAATAATAATTTCTCTATTACTAAAAAATTCTTGTGGGTGTCTTGAATGAAGCACGTTGAGCCACACAGGACTCACCCACAGTGAAATGTAAACACGAGCCTTTGAACGTTAACGATCTGACTGATTTATGACTTACTTGATCTCCAAACAGCACTTTTCAGTATTTCCTATTACTCCATTACTAACCATATCAGTTAGGCTGTGTAAAATATATCTCATTTATTTCTTACCTGAAGCGTCACACCCGACATTATGAAATAATGTCCGATAAACGCAGAGTGATGCTTAGACTAACCGAATCTTCACTCGAGCTCGCGGCTCTGGCTCACGCGGCGCCTGTTCGAGTTACACTAGACATCATATCCAAACTTCCAACTGAATTTGAGAGCTCAACCAAAAAGAAAGACATTCAAAGAGAATAAAAAGTTGGGTGCTGTTGGGTGCTGAAAGAAGATACAGGTGGCAGGCTGCCAGCTGGGAGGCTAGACGGCTCTCGAATTACCGGTAGTTTTTTTTTATGGAAGAAGTTGCTTTGCCTTTCC